CTATTACCCAAAGGGGTTGAATAATTATTCAGTAGTTAATCAGTAATTAGATCATACCACTTTTAGGGGCACTGACTTTAAATCAGCTCCATTGATTAGCTGGCACCCCATTGATTATTAAATGAACATTTAACAGAAACTACTGCATCACTATAATTATTTTTATGGCCTTGCTCAGGGCTCAGTGGAACAAGTCTTTTGTTCACTAATGTGGCCTAAACATATTAAACCTGCAAAATGAGTTTGATTGGTTTTAAGCTGGTATTTATTTATTTGCAAGTATCTGAGTGGACACAACCAGAAACTCTGTAAATAGCTTATAGGTTCTGAAGTTTGGAAAAACAGACTTTAGTTCTGATTAAACAAATGAACTATAGCAACCAGTTGCAAAGCATCTTAAATCAGTTACATTCTTTAAATTTCATTGCAGATCAGGCAACCTCTGCCAGATCTGACGGAGTCTGATTAGATCAGTAAAAGCAATGTGTCGTCTCTTAACGCTACGTGAGATCAGTCCTAGTGGAAACATTTAAAGTCATATTACTTATTATATTCTATGGGATTGTAATAAATCCGCCCCTTAGCTCATGACAGCTTCAACACACCTCGCTGCTTAATGATGTGATGTTTAGACAGAGACTCGTCTCAGAAACAAATAATTCCCAGACAGAATTGTTTAGAAAATCATCAGAAAAGTTTCAGAGTGTTTCTGTTTTGACTTAAACTTCTGTTTTCAACTTTAAGACACGTCGTTCGTGATTGTTTACAAAGTAGTATATATATATATATATATATATATATATATATATATATATATATATATATATATATATATAACTCCTCCTTGAACTGTCACCTTATCGTGGTGGAGGAGTTTGAGTGCCCTAATGATCCTAGGAGCTAGCCCAGGCCCAGCCCGAACTGGATACATGGGCTCATCCAACTGTGGACCCACCACCCGCAGGAGGAACATGAAGGGTCTGGTGCAGTGTGGATCGGGTGGCAGACCGAAGCAGGAGCCTTGGTGGTCCGATCCCCGGACAAGGAAACTCGTTTTTGGGACATGGAACGTCACCTCGCTGGCGGGGAAGGAGCAGGAGCTTGTGGCAGAGGTTGAGCGGTACCGGCTAGATTTAGTCGGAGTTACCTCGACACATAGCATTGCCTCTGGAACCCAAGTCCTTGAGAGGGGGTGGACACTCTCCTTTGCTGGAGTTGCTCCGGGTGAGAGGCAAAGGGCTGGGGTTGGCGTTTTGTTAGCCCCAAGACTCTCTGCCTGTGTGTTGGGTTTTACCCCGGGGAACGAGACGGTAGCATCCCTGCACCTTCAGGTCGGGGAACGGGTCCTGACTGTTGTTTGTGCTTATGGGCCAAATATCAGTTCAGAGTACCCACCCTTTTTGGAGTCCCTGGGACGAGTGCTAGATAGTGCTCCATCAGGGGACTCCATTGTCCTGCTGGGGGACTTCAATGCTCACGTGGGCAATGACAGCATGACCTGGAGGGGTGTGATTGGGAGGAACGGCCCACCTGATCTGAACTCAAGTGGTGTTTCGTTACTGGACTTCTGTGCAAGCTGCAGTTTGGCCATAACGAACACCATGTTCGAACATAAGGATGCCCATCGGTACACTTGGTACCAGGGCAGCCTAGGTCGCAGGTCGATGATAGACTTTGTAGTCGTATCATCTGACCTGCGGCCGTATGTTTTGGACACCCGAGTGAAGAGAGGTAGAGAAATTGCCTTTTTTTTTTATATGAAGTGGACAATTGCAGACATGCAAATTCAAGAAGAAACGGTGTGATTTACGTTCAAATGAAAAAATATTTTTACATTTTTTAAATCAAAAGGAAGGGAATTAAAGATTCAAATTTGTGGAGTGAGTTGTAAAAATCTCTAAACGCTCGATTGTTTTAATTCCTTTCTTAACACAGTTTCTTTGATGTCTTTTAGCTTTAAATTCATCATCTTCATAAACGGTGACAAGTAGTTACCCCCCCAAAATAAAGTAAAACATTTTCAACAACGTCCTGAACATTTCTAAGTTATTCAAATCCAGTTCAACTAAAAAATTATTTTCTTTTTTTAACCATGTTGTTAAATCACTAACTGACTGTCAATCCCGTCATCCCCTCAGAGGGCCTTTTGGATGTAATAACTTTGTCTTTGTGGAAACTTTCTCTTCTTTCCCTCAATAATTTTTTTGAAAATGCCTAACCATAACCCGAGACTGCATTTGGTACTTTCCATTCAAGAGGAGGCGGGATGAACGGTACCAAAAGAATCAGTAGAGAGGAAAGAGGCTGAAGATGGATGAAAATGACATCTGGGAAGACAAAACAAAGATGGAGGACTTATAGGATATTGTGACATGTGAAATTATACTTTTTGATGGATTAACAAATGTGAATTTCCAGAAGTACGTTTAATAGAATGTGAGAAGTGAGCTTTGGAAAAAGGCCAAATATTCTGAACCCCGGCTTGCAGAGAGTTGCAGGGAATGAAGAATTGAGGTTCAAAACAACAACAAAGAAGAGGTCAATGAAAGATTAGTGTCAAAAAGTATCAGAGCTGAATATAAAATGTGTCCCAAATACCAAACCAAACTGTGTGCTGCAGGAATTGTTTGTTTTGATAGCTCACTACTTCCAAAGGTGAGACTAGCTCTCATGTTCAAGACATTTTCATATTATGGACTCTTTTTATAGTGCTGTATGGCTATTTCTTTGAAAAGTGGCTTTGGTGGATTGTTTAGGAGAGATTATTTCTCCCAGAGTCTTCGTTGTAAAAAAAATAGCTCCAGCGAGTGCATTCGTCTTGCGAACTGTGGGAGAAATTCACATTTTGGTCCAACAGGGCAAGAGGGAGAGGACTTTTGTTTTGTACAGAGAACCTGAAAGAGCATCAGTCTCAGCCAGCCTTTGCCCTTAATAAGAAAAGTAAAGTTAAAGCTGAAGCTTGTCTTTGAGTCAGTGAAAACGCACGAGGTGCTTTTAAACACCGAGTCACTAGAGCCCAAACTGTTGGTGCCACCAACCCCATTTTTACTCAGGTGAAAGTTTTAAATTGCATTGCTATTTTATCTAATGTCCATGATGACGCTCCTTTCTAATGCCAAACCTCGGCTCTTCTGTAAGGCCAGTGCTCACCTCTTTCAAACATCAAATTAAAGGCATACTATGCAACATTTTCATATCTTTAAATCATTTTCTTGAGCCAGCATGTGCTAAAATGACCCTTACAGACCCTCACCACCCTCTTTGGCCAGAATGTCAAACTTGCAACTTCAGAGTGTCCTTCCGTTCCCTGTTGGACTAAGTAAAGCTTGCATGCCTGGCACTGCAGTCTGCTTCCAGCATGTTTCCTGCATGTTGTAGATCACGGACACAGCTGATTGGTTTAACTGAGTGAAGAACCTGTAGACACTAATGAAGGCTGAGGAGACATTCTCAGCAGTTAGATTAAGGTGTTAAAAAGACAAACGCACAGCGAGTAGATACGTTTAACTTTGGGTTTTACTAACTGGACACTAGGGAGTGCTAAAAACAAGCCCAAACTGAAAAGTATCCCTTTAAGATTGTTTGAAGAACACCAAGTGAAAATATTACTTAACTGTGTACAGACACAACTTTCATTCTCTTGTTTTATTTTTCTCACAAAATTTTAAATTAAATCATCATAAATTATTAATTTAGCTATTTTCTTTGAAATTTTAGTGTGATTTTAGATGTAAAATGTAAATTTTGGAGTCTAGAGCTAATGTTACATCACACCAGATTCATTATTAACTAACCAAAATGGAGCTCCAACGAGCATCATTTATGGAGTTACTCATTGTGTATGGTGATGTGTGTATGCTGTAATGTGTTCTAACCTTGATTGATGAATATTTGTAGTGAGACAGAGATCTGGCATTCGTGTCCGCTCACTGCCTAAAGGCTTATTGAGCTGCTGCAGCTAGCAAAGATTAGAAACCTCCAAGTGAATCTGTGGAATATTGCCTATGTGTGTGTGTGTGTGTGGGGGGGGGGGGGGGGGGGGGGATGCATGCTTGAGTGAGAGTGTGTGTGTGTGTTCATGCATGTATGTGCATTCATGCTTAATGTGCATCCAGTATCTAGTCAATAACAAACAGTCCCTCATAAATCTGCAAGACATACGTTATGGGACCTGCAACATTTCACTCATCAATAGAGATTTTTTAAATGAGCAACAGACATGTGGAGAGCCAAAGAAGGAATCGATTGAAAATCTTAATTCATGGTATAGCTACAAGCTGAGTACTAAAGAATATAGGTAGTGGGTTTTGGAGTGTTTTGCTGTACTTTTAAAATAATAACTCTTCACTACACAGGGCAAATTTCCACTTCACAAGTTTTTCCAAATAAACTAAAATATCCAAAGCTTTACCTCAGATCTGCTATTTTGAGAGAGGGGAGAAGTGGCTGAAGAGTTTGGTGTATTTGTATAGTATGTAAAAGCCGATATCGCCCAATATTAATTGCAGATTATCCCTAATAAAACCATTTGGGAAACAGGCAGACAGATACAGTTTGTTCAGTATTTTTATATATTTTAAGCAGCGACACAAAGTAAAAAAAATAAATAAATAAAAGTATTTCTTTTTGCCCAGTTGAGCAGACATTTTTGTTGGCCCCCAGGGCACTGTTGTGTTAACACTGGAGGTATAAAGTCAGTTATTTGGCAATAAAAGTGAAGGCGAACAAGTCTGTCAGCTAATGTAAAACAGGTCTTCAAACATAAAGTATCATCTTTGTTTTGACCTGAGGGACTTGCCGTCTTTAGCTGCAAACACACATGGTCGTACGCGCGGGCACACACACACATACACACACACGCGCGCGCACTCTATCTACCATCAAAGTGAATTTTTCCAGTGTATAAACATCAGAGTATAAGATGATTTATTTCAGAAAAAAATAGTATGATGATCGGTTTCTTGACTGCCTTACTGACCCACTGATTTGTTTCCTTTCAGGAGGAGCCATTTGTAATGGTGTCTGAGAATGTGTTGGGAAAACCAAAGAAGTACCAGGGCTTCTCCATCGACGTTTTGGATGCTCTGGCCAACTACTTGGGCTTTAAGTATGAGATCTACGTGGCTCCAGACCACAAATATGGCAGTTTGCAGTCCGACGGTCAGTGGAATGGACTCATGGGAGAACTGGTTTTTAAGGTGAGGGAATAATTAGAATCCTTGTGTAACAGACACGTGGGAAACACCAAGGACATTAACCTTCAGACAAGCCAGTAAACTTTCACTCACTTAGAAAATCCGGCCTTCTTGGCATTTATTAGCTTGCATTTGCTCTTAAATGACAATTACCATGATGTGCAAGTATTTTCAAAAGTAAGTCATCTTTAACTAATAGAATGTCAACAATTCATAAACTGTTGGAGCAGGAGGTCATTAAGTGGATAACAAGAGGAGGACATCAGTCTGTGTGAAACTGTATTATTAAAGACATCTGCTCATGAAATATTTAGCTCTCCTCAAGTATCTTCTAGTGTTTGATTCATGGACTTTGACAGATATTTCCCACATTCTCATGGACAATTTTCAGAGGTTCTTTTGTGTTTCTTTTGTTTTATTTTGTTTTATTTTTAACACTAGAAGCCCCAGAATTCTAACACAGCTAGAATTCCCAATGACAGTCAGTTTGACGGCTGCCATTTTGGCCGTTAAATGCAGGCTGACAATGACGTGGTGGAGCAAAATGGTTCAAGATAAGCCTAATAACATGGCAAGAAAATATCATTTTAATTCAAATCCTTAAAAAAAGTCTATTGTTCGCTGGGTGACTGATGCAGCTCCTTTCTACGCGGGGGGTGGGAGACTGCCACTTCTACTGACCAGATTTCATCAGCTTTCCCCTCTCCGCCTGAAGCAGCATCATACCTAATGCTGGCTTCACTGAGAACATTCTTCTAAAAGCCATTTTAGCTGCTGTTTTACACGGAATATAAACAAAGAGCAAGTGTGCCAGCTGGAAAATTGGTTGCTTAGCAACACCAACGCTGTCCGTCATCCACGGGAAAATTTAACATGTAAACAATAGAGCCGTCAGGCTGCGGGTTTTTGGGTGACGAAGACTAGAACAACTATATTTCTTTTTTGATACATTATTCAATGGGAATTATAATGCAAGCATAAAGGACACACATAAGTAGGAACAACATGAGATCCATCTAACTGAAGATATTACATGTCAAAATATGAAAACAAGACAAGTTGGAAATCAGGAAAATTTTCAAGCCAAAAATATCTTGACATGAGGAAACCCTTATGGGCTCAACACATGGGAGGCGACATCGCCTCTCCTCCATTCATTTTCAATGAGACATGCGCGACAAAGCGATGATCGCGGGCGGATCTCCCTCCTACTAAGCGAAACGTGAAAAACGTACGTGTGAAATTTTGCGCTCGTGCACGTGTCGTGCACAGGCGACCCAGCGACACGATCCCAGAAAGTTGAAACATTTTCAACTTTTCATCGCTGTCGCTCGGACGAGGACCAATCAACGGAGGTTTCATTCACTGACCAATGAGCGGACAGGATGCTCCGTACATCTCCGAGCAAACATGGAGGAGAAGTTGATTATTATTATGTTTTATAGTAAAATCACAAGTAAGATTTCACATAACTCTAACAGCGCCTTGTGAAACATCATATCTATCGCTTTATTAACTCTGAACCGCTTAAATAACCTTAATTCCCTCCAACATGACACAGCCAAACAAAACAACGGAAGTTTCGATTTCGCCATGGAACAGAACGCGTAGACGGCTTTGCCGCTGGCCGCGGATCGCCTCCCGTGTGTCAGGTAATAAAAAGGACAGCGACAAATTTCGCTGATCGCGGTCGTTTGCCGCCTCCCATGTGTCGAGCCCATTAGTGTGATGTACTTTATAACTTTAACATGGTGATGTTATAGATGTTTGAAATCTTCATTTTAGGACTATGTCCAAAACGGTTAGTGAAATTGTTTTAAGCAAATAGCTTCATGCAAAACTAACCCTTAGCATCCTTTTCTGCTGCCACGTGGGTCTCTACTGCCACTGCAAACACAAAAAATATTGTTCATCCATTTTATTTAGTTTGTTTCTAGGAATTATGAACCTAAAACAAGGCTGCCTCAAAAATTCTGAATTTGTGATGTCACAAAAACCGCATGGTGCAAGAGAAAACTGCTGCTGGAGGAGTAGTGCCTCTACTCCAAGCCCCTCCCGACCATCTGAACTTTTCAGTTTATTGTGGTAGACAAGTGGGCGTGGCCAGCTCCAGCTTGTTTTCTTAAAGTGGCAGAGCCCTAAAATGGCTCATTCTGGAAGGTACTAAAAATGTAAAGAATAAAACTGCTGAGATGTGAGAGGAATTCTGTGAAAATATATTAATAAAAGTATTTTTTATTGATCGTAGAACTATTATAACTCAAGAAAAAAGTCATGTCTCCTTTAAATTTCTGCCTAATCATCAGAACCTTGTGCGGACATTGAGTAATTCTAGACCTTTATACCCTTAATGTTCTTCTCTTGACTTGAATATTAGGGTACAGACCCAAATCAGGCTCTGCTCCTCTGCTGCTTCAGTAAACAGAAGACCTAAATCAGCCTTATTTGCACCCTCTCGATATTAAGAAATCTCATGTTAGTAACAAAATCTGAGCTATTCTGACAATCGTTGTTCCTCTGTCTCTCGATTCATGCCAAAAATACACACATCAGCCATCAAAAGTTTATATTTCCAGGTAGTGTGAAAGGACATTACGGATATATGAATTTCAGAGAAAACAAACCCGACCTGCTTGTGTGTCAGAGCAGAAATATCAAACTTTTATATTAATATGTTGGGAGTATTATTGCATGATTGGAATAGATCTAGTTTTCGAGTTTCCTTGCTGAGTTCCGGAGCTATTCAAAAAATATTCGGGGCAACATCCTGAGGCTCCGAGGCCTGATGACGCCTATGCAAAAAAGGATCAAAATTTTCATGAATAAATAATTCCAAGTTCAGACATCAAAAGATTGCCTGTTCCATATTGGCTTAAAGTGAGCTTACAGGGAAGAAATTACATACTTAGGTACAGGAACATGAAGCACGCGCTGAGAATCATGCATGAATTATATTTGAATGTGTTCTTATTTTCTGATCTCCGCCACTCTGTTTAGCTGAAGACAAATATTTGTGTTTTTAAATGTGCACAATGTGAATTAAAGATCTAAAAGTTATTTATGCTTTATATATGCCATATGCAAAGGTCTAAAGCAACTCATCTCTGACACTAGCAGCTTGGTTTTTTTAATCGTTTCTATGTCTTGGATTTCTTTTTTCTTCCCTGCCTCTTGCAGCGAGCTGATGTGGGACTTTCCGCTTTGACCATTACGCCTGAGCGGGAGAGCGTTGTAGACTTCACCACGCGCTACATGGATTATTCTGTGGGCGTTCTGCTGCGCAAGGCCGAACGCACAGTGGACATGTTTGCCTGCTTGGCACCCTTTGACCTGTCACTGTGGGCGTGCATCGCAGGCACCGTGCTCCTCGTGGGCATCCTGGTGTACTTGCTCAGCTGGCTCAACCCACCACGACTACCCATGGGCTCCGTGTCTTCAACCACACTCTACAATTCCATGTGGTTTGTGTACGGCTCCTTTCTGCAGCAAGGTAATTAGCCATTCGTTAATAGAAAAACAAACTTGTGAATTAAATATTTGATGGATTTGTTGTATTTGCTGTGTGTCACAAAGGAACACAAGTACAATTTTCTGATTTGTTGCCATTTTATCTATGATTCACAATCTTGTTTGAGGATGCATTTGAAAGGGTCCACTTTAGAAATAAAAATAGGAAGTTAATAGAAGTGGAAAGACACATTATAGAAAGGAAAATAGAATGGCTTTAAATGATCCAAAATCAAAGACGAATCATCTCAGGGGTTTGGGTTTCATCTGACCTTTTGGGCTCCAGCACAATGGTGGAATTAGAGCAAAATGAAGGAGTCATTCTATTCAATGTTGACTAAGAGGGGAAAAAAAGGCTTTAACTGGGGAATGATCAAAATCTGTCAGACTGCACTCAGGTGTGGAAGCCTAAGTCTCCTCCCCTTCTGGTGGGCTCATGGGTCCTCGGAACAAAGAAAAAAACGAATGCAAGCAACGCTTCGCCGTACGCCCTGAATTGCACCTATGTTCTACTTCAATTTAAATGAAAATAAATCATGGGGGTTTCGTTTGTCAGTCACGTACTTTGAGATTTGCTAACTTGTAAAAATCTGTAATTAATAAGCTGCAAATCAGATGTCGCATTTAAGAAAGAAAGAAAACGATCATTTTTAGTGCCTCTCAAGATAAAAATCACGAGGCGCTTCACAAAAACAAAAAAGAATAAAGTATAAAAATTCTTTTCAAAAAAATCATACAAAATTTGTTTAAAACTCAGGGGGAGAGAGTTCCAGAGTCTGGGGGCCACAGCAGCAAACGATCTGTCGCCTTTGGTCTTTAGCCTGGTGCTGCACAACCAGTAGGCTTTGATCACTGGACCTCAGGGACCTGCTGGGGGTGTAGGGACTAAGAAGATCACCAATGTATGATGGTGCTTGTCCATGTAAGACCCTATAGACCAGAACCAGGATCTTGAAATGAACCCTGAGGTTGACTGGCAGCCAGTGAAGCTGGAGGAGAAGCGGGGTGATGTGGGTGTGTTTGGAGGACTTGGTCAGAAGCCGAGCACAGGCGTTCTGAACCACCTGTAGACGGTTCAGGGAGGTTCTGCTCAGACACGTGAAAAGATAGTTGCAGTAGTCTAACCCCGGTTTCACACTGCGAGCATCAGCGGAACAGAACAGCAGCGAAGTGGCAACGCTTCAAATAGAATCCACTTATAGTCTATGGAGTGTTGCAAACCAGTCGCGACGCAGCAATTTCCAGGTGCGTCCCAGAAGCGGCATGCCGCGCCGCACCGTTAAAGATAGGATCGAATTCTATTTTTTCCGCGAGCCGCTTCTGGGACACGTCAATTTACGCAGTTCACATAGTGCGAGACAGGAGACCACACTGTTTCAGTGTACAATCCCCGGTTATTTTCAAAATAAAATGCAACTTTGCGATGTTATATATAACTTATGTCAGTACGTGTGACCGAACGGCTTTGTTTACCACCAGTTTCTTTCGAGAAGTGCAATGGTGTGATTCCTCGTGGGGGTCGTGATCTCTCGATGAGGAAGGTGTCGGAAGTCTCGAGAGATTTTAGAATCTCGCGGGTACAGCGAGGCGCAGCGAGGAAACTGTGCCGCGGCCAAGACTCTCCCGTTGTGCAAAGGATTGCTTTGAAGTTCGCGAGTGAGCCGCTCCACTGCTGTTCCATTCCGCTGATGCTTGCAGTGTGAAACCGGGGTAAGCGTGAGGAGAAGTTCAGAGCGGGACAGAATGGGACTCAGCTTTGCAATGTTCCTGAGATGGAAGAAGGAAGAGCGAACAAGAGAACTGACATGAGAATCCAGGGTGAGAGCTGGGTCAAAGGTCACACCAAGATTTCTGAAAGGGTTTGGAGTGAGAAGCAAGCTGACCAAGAGAGTCTCTGACTTTGGGGACCAGCTTGTCTGGGGCACAGATGAGGATCCCAGTCTTATCTTCATTCAGCTGTAGAAAGCTCCCAGCCATCCAGGTTTTAATAGAGTCTAAGCAGGTGTGCAACAGCTGCAGCTTAGACATCTCATGGGGCTTAAAGGAGATGTACAGTTGGATGTCATCTGCGTAAAGTTGGTAGGAGACTCTTTTAAAGGAGCTCAGAACGAGCTGAAGAGGAAGCAGATAGAGGAGGAAGAGTAGAGGCCCCAGCACAGAACTTTGTGGGACACCATGGGTGAGGAAGGTGGTAGAAGACCTAAACTTGGAGACAGCCACAAAGAAGGAACGCTCAGACAGATGAGAGTAGAACCACTCCAGAGCAGATCGTGATACGCCTACTTAGTCTCTCAGCCTCTCAGTGTCAAAGGCTGCAGTCAGGTCCACAGGACCACAACAGAACAGTCCAGTGCATCACTGTGGGCCAGAAGGTCATTAGAGACCATTAGAGCTGTTTCAATAAAATGAGCTCTACAAAAACCTGACTGGAATCTATCATAGATGTTATGTTCATCAAGAGCAGCTGTCAGTTGTTTAGCCACAACCTTTTCCAAGATGTTGGATATGACGTCACCGCACAATCTCACTTACCACTTGGCCAGATTGTTTGCTTTTGTTATTCCCACATTTAATCCTCCAGTCATTCTGGAAGAAGAATTCAAAGCTCACTAAACTCACAGCCATTTTCTTCTCCATGTCTGGTTCTATGACGTCAATATGGTGAGACACATTTGTAGTTCTACATGGGATTAGAAAATGGCATTTATAGCCCCATTGACCTGCATCCATTTTCTCTTTTTGTCGGGGACGCGTGATCTGGAAGTAGATGGGCCTGATTTAGGCTCTCCATGGAGTTTAGGAAAAACTTTATATTTAATTTCAGAAGTAACTGAGCTTTAGCAGAGATCTCAGTAAATGCTGTTGGAAAAAGAATTTCATAAATGTGTATTTGATCAAAACTATTTGGTTTCAGACTAGTGCATTTAATTCTTCAGTAAGAGGAAGAGATACTTGATTCATTCATTTACTTATTTCAATCTAAATATGTGCTGTTTTGCCACAGTGCACAGTGTACGTTTGTTTTCATGCTCAAGGCCTTGCAATAGTTGATTTTTTTCAGGCTACATTAATTATGCAAATTCGAGGAGGATTGATTTTGTTTCTAACACTGCCTCTGAAAGGTTCTGTGCTCTGAATAAGCAAATGATGAGCATTTCACTATTTGGCAAATAGTTTTCCATCGTTGCTGCAAATAATAGCGGTGATAATGGTAACTGTGATACATGCTAATTGCTATTTTATATTTGCAATCATCTTACGTTTTAGCTGTAATTAACATTTTAGTCGTAGGATCATTATACAAGAAAAAAAAAGGCAGAGGAAAAAGGGATCTAATTCTTGTCGAGTGGGTTTGCCCTGTGATGTTGTGTTTATGGTAAAACTTCCCAAAGCTTTTTGGAGGTTGTGAGTGACAAATGAATCAGAAATAGCATAACGGTTAATGAATCAATTAGCTTTATTTAAAAACCAATAGCAATCATCATTTCTTCAACTAATTTCAAAAATTTTTAGCTAATAGTTAGTGGTTTAAAATAAAAGACACGTTTCATTGTTCCTGCTCATTGGTTTCCTGTGTCTTAAAGGCTATTTAGGAAATACTAATCAATTTTGTTCCTTGAAATCAATTCAGTTCAGTTTATTCGTATTGCGCCAAATCATGAAAAGAGTCGCCTCAAGACACTTTACATAGTAAACATTCCAATACAGGTCAATACTTAAGCCAATCAGTAAAAGTTTCTTTAAAGGAACCTGGCAGATTGCATCGAGTCGCTGACTAGTGCCAGTGACTTTACAGCAATCCTCGTACTGAGCAAGCATTTAGCGACACTGGAGAGGAAAACTCCCTTTTAACAGGAAGAAACCTCCAGAGGATCCGGGCTCAGTATAAGCAGCCGTCTGCCACGACCCACTGGGGATCGAGAAGACAGAGCACACACACAGACACATACACATACACACAACATACTTACTAAGTAGTATACATGTTGAAATCAAGTTTCAAGAAATGAAATGTTGCAGCAAAATGTAATTGAAAAGTGGCATTTTTTTAAAGAACTGCGATGGACTGGCTCTCTGCCCAGGGTGTTACCCCGCCTGATTGCCCGTTGAACGCTGGAGATAGGCACTAGCCCCCCCCCCCCCCCCCCCCCCCCCCCACCCCCGACCCTGCGTGGACAAAGCAGGTTCAGAAAATGGATGGATGGATGGATGGATTTTTAAAGAAAAATTTGCTTTTAGCTTTACAAACACTAACTAAAATATTTCCAATAGTTTGGAGTATTTAGTGACTTAATGAAAACTACTGAATGTTGTCTGCTACCATGATAAAATGGGTGCTGCAAAAGTGTGTGTGCGTTCGTGCATGTGTGTGTGTGTGTGTGTGTGTGTGTGTCTGTTCACGTGTGCTTGCATGTGTGAGTGCAATCATGGGTGCATGGATGCATGCATACATGTGGATGTGCGTGTGTTCTGTCTTAAATATCTCTTGGGTATGAGATTAGCACTAGCGTTTAGCCACAGGTGAATAATATCCTATGTGGTTGACTAGAATTAGCATCCACATAAATAAAAGGAGCATTAATCATTTCCAGCTCCAAGGTTAAGTATTTGAAGGCAATACCGAGCCAGCCACCTTAGCTGTCAGCCACTGGGAATTTTTCTGGTGCTCCTGATGGCCAGTCCGCCACTGATAGTCTGCATTATTGCCGTTTCTAGCATCCCAGAACCCTAAAGGCACTTTACAGCACAACAGTCATTCACCCATTTACACACTGATGCCGATAAAGCTGTGATGTAGTCACAGCTGCCCTGGGGCACACTGACAGAAGCGAGGCTGCCACACAATAGGCGCAACTAGTCACTGGCTGAAGTATCTTGCCCAAGGATGCATAAGCTGTGGCAAACTGTGCAAACCTGTAACCCTCTGTCAATGGAGAGTTATGGGGTTGGAGAGAAATTCTTGGCCTACTTTGGATCCGGCTA